TATGGACAGTAATAACAAGTGCGTCAGAGTGAGGATGTACGAAATGATTCGCATCCTCCATATTAAAAGTTATGGGGCAGTTTCGGTTATTGAGGATGTCTCTCAGATCGGTAGTATACACTTGTTTGCTGGAGTTATAAGCTTGTCGAGCGTAAGCTTTGATTTGCCGACGGGATAATGTACTCCGGGTATTGTTGGTATTGACACGGCGGACGGTGATTTGCATCGGGCTAGGAGATCGGTCTCGCTTGCGTCCTCGGGAAGTTCTAGTGGAGTTAGAATTGGGTGTTTCCGAGGTGAACATAAATACTTCCTTGTCCCCTTGTCGGATGCGTTTTGGCATAACACCTCGATCCTCCTCGTCGTCTTCATCATACGATTCAATTTTATGCCCTGGTCCTCGTTTCTGGGGATCGGTATTGCGATAGAACTTTCTGAGCTACGGATGACCGATTAAACGCAACAAGGCAGCTAACAAACTTAAACATTCGTCAGTATTGTGCCCTGGCGATTTATGGTAATCGCAATATCGGGATTTGTCTAATTTCTCCTCGGGCATCTGAAGTGGCTTGGGATCTGGTAAGATACCTTTCCCTTTGATTTCTTCGTAAATGGTGGCAGCCCCAGTCGAATATACGGTTTGATAATCGGATTTTACATCGGTTGCATACTGTTTTTGGGCTGCTCGAACTTCAGGATCGTTGGAATCTCCTCGGGGAGGTCCTCTGAATTGAGTTTTGTTTTGCTTGTCGAAAAATTTGTTTTTCTTTTTCTCGTCGGTTCCCGCTTTAGAGGACTTCGGGTTAAAATTAAAGTCGGGTACCGACATGGCTTCTTCGGCTATAATGTGTTGTTGAGCTCGGGCAAGGAATTCTTGAAAGGTGTTTGGTTTATTTTGACACAATGTCCAGCGAAAAATTGAGTTTGGTTTTAGCCCGACAATAACCATAACAAGCAGAGTTTCAGGATGATAAGGCTCCATATTCTGAACTCGGTCATTAAATCGAGCAATGTAGTCCTTGACACTTTCATCATCTTTTTGAGTTACGTTTGCAAGGGATTCTTTTGGAATTAAACATACTTGGGCCCCGATGAAGTGAGATCGGAAGGCTGACCTCAGCTGTTGCCAT